TCGCAAGCCTCATTTCCTGCTTGCAGCAGTTCTAACTTTTCTTCCCATTGAGCATCAGGTTTTTCAGCAAGTGCTGTTAGAACAGAGGCTGTCAGAGTTTGTCTCTGGACTAAAGTTTTGAATGCCACACTTTCTTTCATAACTGATGCTAATAGTGGCATTGCTAGCTCTGGCAAGCCATTGTGGAGGAAACCCTTAGCTACATCAAGGACTGGCTTTATTTTATCACTACTGCTCAGTAGGGCCATTGTTAGGCACCCTAGAGCTGTCTTAGTGGAGTTTATAGTGCCTTGTTCTAAGTATTGCAGGCACATACGCATCCAGTCTTCTGCATCAAGGTTACCTAATATTGTATTGCAATCCTTGCAGAAAGGCTGCTTTTCTGTGAGACCAAGACGTGAATAGGATATACTTCTTGGCTGGCAGTTAGAGCAGAAAGGCTTACGACAATAGTAGCAGGCATTGGATATGTAGCTTCTTTTTTTAATGAGCATGCTAAACAGCAAACTCTTGTTACAATTGGCACATTTTTTCCCTTGTGTCTCTGTTGCAGCTGTAGTTATACTTTTGAGCATTGTTGTTTTAGGTATCAAAACATTTAGGCAGTGTCGCATATCTGATGTAGAAGAGCATTCTTCATTGAGCAGTAATGAATATAATAGCAATATTTCTTTGTCTGATAAACTATCTAGGCACAACACCTTTATGCCATCTTCTGAAGGAGGAGCTGAATAGACCCCGTTTGATTGAATTCCAAGCAACATTTGCTGTATTTTGTATGCATTTGCTATGACATTAGGATCTTCTTCTAACAAAGCATTACTTGCTTGCAAGATGTTTAGCAATGGGGTCGGTGTGTTGCTTTTTGCTATTTGACGTATTTTATCATTTTTGTATATCTCTGCTTTACGTAAAGCATCACCCACTTTTCGCTGGAGTAGTCGTTCAAACTTTTGCCTTGGTACTTGGATTTTCCCAGCTTTAAAATCTGCCTTGAACTTGTTAAAATCCTTTAGAAAAAAGTCTGAGAACCGTATACCTTAGGAAGGATAAAATGTAGAATTATTTGTTATAAACTTTCATTCCTACCTGTTGGGAGGAATCCTTTAGGATCATAGATAGTTTCATCTTCATGTTTTTCATCATATTCAGCTCTCTGAACCTCATCCAATAGAACAGACTTTGCTTCATTGAGTCTTTTCATCATTTCTTCTGTCTTTGAGTCTTGTGTCTTGTCAGGATGATACATACGGGACATTTTATGATATGCCACTTTGATTTCAGCCTTGGAAGCATTCTTTTCAACTTGCAATAGTTTGTAGTAGTCAGACTCAATAGGAGCCACATCTAACAGCTGCTGGCCTTCAGTATTGCTATAACCTGTTGCCATTACTGTACTTGTAAAAATAGACAATAGCCTTTTGATCCACTAGACTATATTCTGACTATATTGCAGCTCACTTATATACAAGTATTTGCATTGCTATTTTGTGCTTCCACTTTAACATATTGAGTGTATACGGCAGAAACAGGAAACATTATACTGGTATATGTACCATCTACTATAATGCAAGGGGATAGATAGTAATATTTGGTAAATTTGTCTATAAAAAGTAATTGGAAAATTTATATTGGCAATTTTGTGCAACATGTCAGTGAGCATGCTCAGATTGAAACAAATTGAAAAATTTTAAATTTTTAGCTTTTGACATAACCATCATTTACCAATATTAGTGTGGGCCCAATGGTATCATCTTATACAGTAATTTTTACTATACTGGGAGTATATTTCTGCCAAGTGAGTCTGCCAGGAGTTTTTTGCCAAGAGTTTTTTGCCAAGAATGCTGTTTTGTACAATACAGCAATCTGAAAGTGATCTTGTCCTCTTTCTAAATTTTTTGTAATAAAGTATAGAAAGTTAAAGATTGACCAATTAAGTATAGTACTGTACATGCATATACAATGTACTAATACATATAGGTATCATACATTTTATACATGTAGCTGGTAATTCTGGAAGGAAGAAATTAGGCAAATTTGACCATTCACCTTAAACCTGCCATTTTGAGCCATCAATGAACCATTGATGCACATGCTCAATGGCTAATTTACCAAATTAAAACCTTCTATATAACTATTTTAAAAATAGCAATTTTACCCTTCCAAAATTACCAGCTATATGGTATGATTCAAATGTGATGTTGCAGCAATGGTACTATCAAAAATTTGTATAATGCATTGTAAATCTGTTACTTTTAAATGTATTTTCTGCTTATAATAGAAAAGTAGTACATATACTTGTACATGTAGTTCTTTTTTCTAAAACAGTGACTTGTGTTATTATTATTATTATTAATTTTTTCTAGCGTATATGCAGTGTAATGGCTCCATTCCCTGTCCTCTCACTGACTGCTAATAATTGCAATGGAGACGTACTAGCAGTCTGTGGAACTAAAGTATTACTAATAATAATAATAATTAATGCTTATTATCATTATTGTGTTATTAGGATGTTCAAGTGATGTCAGTCAATGCTCAAGGCTATGTTACCAGTAGGATTAATCTGCATCCATCAGTGGACACTGCTTCTGGCTATATTGTCAAAGTAATATTAATCCTGTATTCATAATGTGTGTTACTACTTTCTTTTTCTATTTCTTTCCTCTCCTTAATCTCTGTCTCTCCTTATCACTTTCTCTTATTCCTTTCTCTCTCTCTACCTTTCTCTGTCTCTCCTCTCTCTCTCTTTCTCCCTCCTTCCTTATCTCTTCCTCTCTCTCTCTTACTCCCTCTCTCTTTCCCCCTCTCTCTCCCTCCCTCTCTCTCTCCCCCTCTCTCCCCCTCTAGTGTATGTGGTTGCCTGGTTCAGAGTCTACATTAGCCATTGTCACTGATACTTTTATTAAGATTTATGATTTATCAGTTGATTCTCTGAGCCCTTCATATTACTTTATTGTGTTTAGCGAAAAGATAAGAGACGCTTGCTTTGTTGTCACAGAAGAGGTCAGTATATTTTTGTGTATGTCTGTACATCTTTGTATATTATTGGTGGTTATTATTAGTAAATTCTTGTATATTATAGGCCACTTGTGTGTTGGTTATGATGTCAAATGGTCAAATATTTTATCAGCAAGTTAGCTCAGAGTGTTCAGCATCAGAAGGCCCAGTCTATTTCACTGTCGATTTCATAGTCAATCATCCATCAATACAGGTACATGTATAATACATGTACATGTATCATGTGACTGTCATGTGATTCCTGTGTTTATTTATAGAATGTTGATGGGCGTGTCTGTGAGGGTGGAGCCTCAATTTATTACTCACAGTCGTTGCAGATGTTGTTCTTTAGCTATAGAAATGGTAATCTTATTATTCATTTATTTTATTAATTTTAAAAATAAAATATAGGCAAGTCATTTATGGCCACATTGGATGGAACTCTTAGTAAAACTAATTTGATTGTAGAAATACCATTAAAGAGGTAAGAAATCAGTATCAGTGTTGATACGTCAGAGTTAAAATCAGCGTTAGTATCAGTAATGCACTGATTGGTATCTCCATGTATCGTGAATTAGTTGATATTTGGTCGATTTAATGGTGCAATATCAGAGCTATAACAACTTATTAGTATCACTGATTAGTATCATATCAGTAATATTATATTGTTATATCAACATTACATTTATATTACATTTTATGTGTATGTACATGTACATTTATATGTACCATAATTATTCTCAAATAGAAGCACATACATTTGTATTCCAGGCTTTTAAATGTGTATTTCAAGATTCTCCTACATGTATATTTATACTTTATATACATGTACATGTACATGTAGGCTTATATTTCCTTCATGCATGTAGCCCCAAGATTGTAAATTGAGACAACTTTTTATTTGAGAATATATGTACATGTACATGTATATCTCCATCTCTTTTCCTATAGTAATACAATAACTAATTCAGATAAGACCAGTACCACTACTCCTCCATTACT